GACCAAGTGGGATCCTTACTGACGTCCAAGTGCAATAGGTTCCTTGTGAATGGGGAGTATCTGCAGATAGCCTCAAGACATGTTCCACACACACCTTCGCGAGTGACCAACCCAAGGTGGATGTGTAGTGTCCATCCCAAGAAGAACCTCTGCGCACACCACGTCTGTCCTAGATCCTAACACCTTTCCTCTCTTGGACAACGATGGCAATCCAATGCCTTTGCCTTGGAGCCAGCCATCTACTTTGGAGGGTTTGAGATCACAAGTGTGATGTCCCTTCTTCCTTTGTTCCAAGTGGTACCCAGCAATGGACACCTTGATGTATTCAAGAGGGCTGCTGACCTTGTATTAGGTCACAGCCAAGGTCCAAACTGAGGAACCAGATGCTCCCAGTTTTGTGGGAATGTCGAGGAATGACCCAGACATAGAGAAGCTTGTTGACGCCCCCATTTGATGACTCGAATGGTGGGAGCGATGAAATTAGCAATAGGAGCCTCTATGGGTGCGCCACAGCTGTGCTGGTTTAGTCGGATGGAAACAATGCTTTTGATCGTGTACAGTCAATCAGTACACACAGCATTGCAGCCATGTGACAATTTGTATATAGCTGAGGCATGCCTATGTGTTCCAGAGCATACATAGCCTTCAGCCTAGATACATTGGAATGATCAACACCAACAGTCCTCTCCAAGGACCTCCAACAGTGGATACCCTCTCCAAAAGAGCCAGTTCTGTCAACTGGAGTGAAATCGTGGTAATGGTGTTTTTAGCTTATAGTAAGAAAGATAGTAATGAAAGAGTAACCCTGAGACCCAGTAGCACCCTCAGCCCTGCAGTAGATAGATTCCTGTGTGGTATGTGCTAGGGCAATGTAACCAGCTCCCCAAGTAATTTGAAGTAGTGATTGGGTAGCATTGAACCAGCTCTCTGAGCTGGCCTTTCAGCCAGTGGAGGAGATCTCCATCATCTAGAGATCTCCCTCCCAGCTCTTGTGTTCCTACAACTGAGCATCTTGGCAGATTCTTATAGCAGGGAGTGCACTACATGTACTGACGATAACGTCGGGGCGCTTATTAGATGTTGTCTCCGCAAGTGGTACCGGGTAACTGGCTTTGTTCTGCTCTGGAGCTGCCATCTTTAGTCATCTTTCTCGATTGATTCGACATTCTACTCTACTGTACTTGATTTTCGTCTGGTTGATGTACAAGAATGTTGTAGGTGGACGGAGGTAACCTCCCACGGGTCCCCCCTGTAGAGCTGGTACATTAGAGTCACTTAGAGCATTCAATACCGCGGTCACCCATAGCACAAAACCCAAATGGTGCGTGGCTTGACATACTCGCAGCAAGGCTATGCTTGCTCGCGAAAGAGAACCTCAATGCTCCTATTGTGATGTTAGAATAATGTCATTGATGATGTGGCAATTCTTCTCCTTAAGTAAATTTGAATCCAATGAGTCAATTGGTTTGGGTCGGCTGTTGCCGCTACCCAAACGGTTCCGATTTGGGTAAGCCACATGGATCCACATGGTCGCTAAACCCATTTGACTCAGTCGACTCAGGGTCGGCCGGCGATACTCGATGCCAACCATTTGGGTTTTGTGCTATGGGTGACCCCGGTATTGAATGGTCTTAGAGACTCGCGAGCCGATATGTCACCACTGCTGAAACAAAGTCCATCCATCCAATGCGTCCGCGTCCACAGGTCCAAAGTATAGTGTCCACTTACTTCGGGTCAGTTGAATTGTGCAGTTATCCTGCACCGTCCTCGCACCGCACTGCACCAAAATTAGGGGCACTTCAACTAGCGTAACTAGAGTAACTGACGTAACTAGCGTAACTAGCGTATGGTAACTGACGTAACTGGCGTGCAACTGATGTAACTGGCGTAGAACATTGGAGGACGACCAATGTGGTCATCGTTTCAACTAGCTTTGTATTGTAAACAACTCTACAGAGACAACAGAGCAACGGCAACACTGTTTACAATGAGTTACACTTAGTTTTCAAGCTTTTGCAGCACTTGAATCACTGCAGTGTCACCTGCCTCCCCCCACATCTTTTCCAACAGCTGAGCTCCGTGAGATTCATCCAAGTCAGTCAAACAAGATGATGATCCAAGTCAGTCAAACAAGATGGTATTATTGCCTCCTTGAATCGAGCTCTAGAGCAATACAATTAATTTGGTGTTAGTAGAATTTTAACGATTACTCTGTAGTAGATAAAACCTACTTGTAACTCAGTCATTGATAGCTAGCTAGTAGCAATAGTTCAGCAGCAGCAGCAGCAGCAGCAGCAGCAGCAGCAGCAGCAGCAGCAGCAGCATGTAGTATTGGTACAGTACCACCGTACCGGTACCGGTACATGAGTCCTCAGTCAACATGCCACGGAGATTCTTAATAACAAGGCTTTTAAATTTATACGTTTAATATTTTAACATAAAAGCAAAATTGCATTTTTTTACAGGCTGGTTTCTCTGCGTCCTTGCACAAAAGACACACTTGGTACATTTGCATTAAGTCTTTGAGTCGCTCACTGGTTAAATTTTGGCTACTCGTTAAATACAGGAGAACACTAGGTTCTTCTAAGGACTTAACAACTTCAACTGATGTGGAAGGTGCCATTCTCCTGAAGGAGCACTGCACCAGGGAAATGGCACCAAATTCACGCGACTCCTTACTTCCAAAGTCCACTTCCAAAGCAGACCCGCCACCGCGTCCACACGGTCAACCGGACGGTCCAAAGTTAGACCCGTGGACCGACTAAGCTGTGTAACAACAGCGGAAGACAAAGAGTTAGACTATGAAGCCCTGTTCGATATTCGCTCTGTAAACCTTGCTTCGGCCGAGTCCAAGGCGTCGAATGCGCTGAAGCACTTGGATATGTTCCTCTCAGCCTATTTGAAGAAAATCAAATTTCCCATCATCAGCTGCCGTCACCGGTGTTAAAACAAGTGGAACCTTCCAAGAGGCAAACACTTGGTGGGATGACATGATTGGCAACTTCTTCAGTTATCTTTACAAGGACGCCTACAAGTACTGCGATCCTGAGAAAGGACGCATCTCATACGAGACAGCGACAGGGTATGCATCTAGTGTCAGAGTCTTCTACACGACAAAGTTTCGCAACTGCGGGCCCGGGTTAAATTTATTTGGAACAATCAAGTGGAGAGAGCTCTGGAACAAGCTGCTCGCCCAGTTCAAAGAGGAAATAAAGACGACAGGAAAAGTGCAATACACGGCTCTTAGCCTTATTCGCGACTCGATCCTAGATAGGGTTTGAGTTCGACTCATGACTGAGTCTCTCGTGAATAGTCATTTGAGACAGGGTTCTCAATGACCGCTCTAGTCATACTAGGTTGATGATGAAACATCGCTCTAGATATTTTAGCCAGCGTGGAGTACTTCCACGCTACTAGATCCATGCTAGACGAATCTTCCACGCGTTCCGTTTTAGGATCGTAGAGATACGTAGGATTACTACCGCAACCTACGCTATCACACTTTATAGTCTCCCGCGGGAGACCAGATCTACGATCCTTTGATGGTGATCTCTCTCATTGATTAGTTTTCATAGCTTTCTAATCTCTCTCATAACTTTCATTCTCTCAAACACAAAACACTCGAAAGATCTTTACACTAGCTTTTAGCGTAGTGCAAAAGCCCTAGTCGACGGCCATGAAGCCTCAGAGGATACCGATCGCAACGCAATTGCCATCGGTTGTTACTGGCTCGGTACCGTGGAAGCAGCCGAATTCCTCCACCTCAACAATACAATGATGCAATGCAGTGGCCGTGGTACAGAAGTATCTCTGGTAGGAAAGAATGACATCAAAGCATCAGATGTCAATGAGCTCTGTTATAGCTACCAAATCTTGAAAGTGGACCTCACGAGACAGAAAGATGGTCCCCGGCAATCAATCTCCATGTATCCCCACCGTGATTCAATGCATCAAGATGTCTATTTCTCTCTCATGTACTTCATTGCGATGGACCCAACCTACGGCATGTCGAAGTACCTGTTTCCCAAGTTCGCCAGTAAAGCCCTAAGCACCAACTCCAAAGGGAAAGTGGAGAGCAAAGTATCGACGCTATGGATGGATTGCTTCAATGATCTGCTAAAGAAATTCAAAGCGTTATCCGAATCTATCAACAACAAGCTCTCCTCCCACCATGGAAAGAAAGGGTCGAATCAGAAGATGGGAGAGTCCTCGATCGCCGGTCTGGCACAGATCTTTAGCACCGGTTGGGCTGTCTGTGGTGCGCTAACAATCTTTGATTATGTCACCGGGTCTGAGTGAATGTCACAACAAGCTGGCAAGGTAGTCAGCAATTGGCACAGCAAAGTCGGTGATACCATCCTCAGCGGACAGCCACCAAAGCTACAAGATATCACAACAAACCATGAGCAACTCGATGACTTCGTCAAGATCCTGTTTGCATACGACAAAGACGATGATTTGTCCCCTGCCATGAGGAACTGTTTAGCCTCATCCCTCATCAGACATTACGCAGAGTTCGTCTCCATCATCAGGTCCCATCCTGACAACACCAGGTCCCATCCTGACAATACATACGACAATATCCAACATCACCCCTTCATTCATCGCGTGAACGATGCGCTTCGCGGCGCTGGAGTCTCATGTGAGACATTCGAAGCATGACAGCTTGAGATCAGACACGGTTTCGCAAGTCGGAATGCCCCAGCGCTACCCATTGAAGCGATACACCAGCAGTCACCTAACGTAGTCGACAACTTCCACGTCGACACCCGGACATTCACCGATCACTACAATCAACTAGTTGTTTGTTTCCAGTCTCTGCATGGCACAGCGGTGGTCCAAGGGGGACAAATCAGTATCATGTCGAAGCGCATTGATGGGCTTGAAGCAGAGTTGAAAGCAGCCCGATCGGAACGTTATTGGAATCTATAGCAGACCGCATCAGCTTAGACTATCAGAAAGGTCCCCTCCGGAAGAACCAGAAACCAACCGACGCTGAAATGGTGTTGCCCTTCAGCATTTCCTACGAACATCTGAAACGCAATCCAAGACCGGTCGATGTATTCGTCTTCTTCTTTGACCAGGAAGCAAAGCTAGGGTACTACAGTGAAATGCAGTCGCAAAAGCTCAAGACCCCACCCGCCGAGTCGAAGGAAAAGAAGAACCTAACTGCAAAGTTCGGCAGAGTCAAGAAGATAGTCAAGGTCATGCTTATGAACGTAGGGTCATATCCAAGCAAGAAACCATCAGACCCCCAACTGCTAGCGATTTGGCAGGAAAATCTATTGGAGTTAGGCAGACAGGGAGAAAACAACCTCTATGCGTCAATCGACAAAGTGAAAAGCATCCCCTTCGACAAATTCCATGTATCCCATGTGCTAACCAATCTCAAATTGATCAACCACCGCAACCTGAAGCTCCCGTCGAATACACCAGCAGAGGAACTTCAATTCTTTAACAAGTAATCCTCATTGCCCTCAACGGACTGAGGGTCTTTCACACTTTTGCAATACACGGCTCTTAGCCTTATTCGCGACTCGATCCTAGATAGGGTTTGAGTTCGACTCATGACTGAGTCTCTGTAAAGTCATTTGAGACAGGGTTCTCATGACCGCCTAGTCTATACTAGATTGAGTGATGAAAATCGCTCTAGATTATTTAGCTAGCGTGGAGTACTTCCACGCTACTAGATCCAGGCTAGACAAACCTTCACTGCGTTCCGTTTGGATCTGTGGAAAGTTTGATTACTACCAAACCTACTCTATCACACTTTACAGTCTCCGCGGGAAACCAGATCTAACGATCCCTTGATGATGATCTCTCTCGTTGATAGTTTTCATAGCTTTCTAATCTTTCTCATAACTTTCATTCTCTCAAACTCAAAACACTCGAAATTATCTTTACACTAGCTTTTAGCGTAGTGGTTTTGTTAACAAAAAAATAGCTTTCAGCTACCCTCAATCTATTCCTTCACACTTGAAGATGGCTCAAGGAAAGCATGCGTTCCGCAACTTCGAAAAACAGTTGCGTGGCAAACCTTCTTCTCTCGTCGACAATGACAATAGACCAAAACGAGATCGACGATACTCGTGCTACCACTTGCAAACTTCGCAACCATGTTGCCAAGCGCATCTGACAACTCCGACAATGAGGACGACTCCTCTATCAACTTCAATCACTTGGATGGAGAAATCTCTATCTGAGGATTAGGCCAGGATGTACTCAACGAACCCTGTTCCGATTTTCATACCAAAGTGATGAAGATATCTCATAATAGTAAACAAGAATATGTTTGCAACACGATGAACTCTACGCAAATAGATGATTGCCTAGAAGCTCTCAACTAGACTCTGATGATCTATTTAGCATCGTTAACCTCATGTCCGTGGCAACACCTCGTAAACGTCGCATTCTCTCTTT